GACGTCCCAAGTGGATGTGTGCCCTGCCTGGAGGATTCCTCTTGCATCGTGCCATCATATCGTTGAAGTTAAACAGTCACACATGACTGCAAACACCGGTGGCCAAAGGTACTCGATGATCGCATCGTTCCTCCAGAAACAGGACAGGCCGGGGCTCATCATGGACCATGCTCTGGCCGACATTGGTCAATCGTGCAATCGCGGATCTGTGCATCTTTGCGGGTCGTTGCCCACATTGTCCGCATCTTCCAAGCTCTTCAGCTACAAGCTGAAACGGTCCCACCCTCGGTTGAACAGTCACGGTCGTCTTCGTGCGACTGAGTCCGAATCTCTGAGACACCGTATGCAAATTTGAGGTTGCTGGCCCCCAAGGAGTTGGCGGCCACATTGGGATACCGCCACTTCTGTACAGAGGGTGCGACAGGAAGTCAAGCCTGTGGCGTCATAGGACGCAGTATGGCAGCCACCACATTGGTGGCTGTCCTTCTTCCGTTGGTGAAAGCCCTTGGGTTCTACAGAGCCAGGCCATAGATGCTAAGGTGCAAGAATGGCGCCGTCCATTTCGCAGTTTTGAGCTGTGCGAAATCAGAATGCTTTTGCTATATGCCTTAGAAGCTGCAGTGCTGGACTTGTGCACCTGACAAGTGCTGCTGACATTCAACAGAGGGCCAAGCGGCTCACCGTGGGGGTGTGCTGGCAGTTCTTGACTTGAAGCAATGGCGCAGAAACGGCCGAATGCTGCGGAGCCCAAAAGACGAGTGTCGCAAAAGAAACAGGTTGATGTCAATGTGGCAGCCAGCCCGTCCCCGCAAGACCACCCTCTTCTGGCCTTGGTGACTGAAGGTTTGGCAAAGCCGTCTGTGCAAGAGTTCTTTGCAAAAATGAAGGGCAAGGCTCAGGCGGCTGCGGGCTTGGATGTTTTGGATCCCACCAAGTACGAGGCTGCAATGACGGCTTTCGGGGAGTACACCTGTGGAGTGAACTTTCTGGCCGTAGACCCGCTGCGCACGACCCATGACAAGATCGTGCCCGGTTTGTCTGCCGTGAGAAAGGTCCAAGCCTCCCATTGGGCTCGACAGAAGGAGCGGGTGTGCTTCCCGGCTGCATGAGACTGCCAGCTTGACAATAAAGTGCGTGATTGTTCCATGTCTCGAGGCTTATGGAGAGACAGCATTTCGATCTATGCTTGGTCGCGAACACAGGTGCCGGACAAGCTTCAGGTCCTGAGCAACGACCCCTTGCGCTTTGCTTTCATACTGGCGGTCATCGACGCATGCCAAGGTGGATGGGCTGATGAGCTGGAAGTTGCCTTCCAGAGTATGCGGGTCACATTCGTTCTTTGCAAGGACCAGGAGCAGGTAGAGCAGAAGAAGTGGCTGTTGTCAGCCAAGCAGGGGAGCTTGGCTGACAATGCAGTCTTGAAAGGCTGGAAACGTATAGTGGCCATTGTCAATGTCAAAGACTTGCTCAAGTCTTGGTGCAAAGATAATTCTGACGCTGCTGCCCGCTGCCTGCACATATATCGGCCTTGTCTCGTGACCGTTGACTAGAATAGAAGAAATAGCAATGCTGACTGAGGTAAGCTCTTGGTTGGCCCAAGAGGGTGTCGAGGTCTCCAAAGACTCCGTTCGAGCCTACGTCACTATCCGCAGCAGAGTTGCCGCAGCCGGAGTTGATTCGATTTTGGAGGAATATGAAGACGAGTTCGGCATAGAGCATCACTTGACAAAAACATTCGTTCTTGACAAGCTGTGCCAGCTCACGAAGTCGGACAACTTGGACTTGCAGAACCAGCTTTTGCGGTGGCTCTTCTTTGACTTGCGATGGGCCATCCGGCTGAACAAGATTACTTCTGTCGACAACCGGAATGCGGTTGTGCTTCAGGGCAAAGCCTCCCTCTTGGGTCGAAGGCTCCTCTTCTTCATGCTCTCGAAGCTCCGTCTCTCGAAGGCGGAGGCAGAGGCCATGGGCATCAATGCAGATGCGCCCGCAGCAGACATAAAGAATGCCCGCGGCTTCTTTTCCATCTTCACTTCTCATGATAACTGGCTCTCTTCCGGTTTGGGGGATGTCGCCTCAGACTCAACGTGGGTTGCCGACTTGCCCATGTATCAGCAAGAATCCTTGCCCATCCTCCAGAAGTTCTTCTTGCCCACGGTTCAGTTTCTCGAGACCTTGCTCGAGGCATTGGACAGGGACCCCCCAGGTCTTTCCCCGGAAAAGGCCTTGGCGAATGACAGATGGAAGAAAATTCTGCCTTTGCACGCTTTGCTTCAAGCGAAGGAGTCGTGTGCTCAGTTGAAGTCGTCCTGCAATAAGAACCAAACACGCCCTCCGATGATGCAATAGACATCGTGTGCTCAGGAAAGACATGCCGAAGCCAGAGGTCACACCAGAGCAGCCGGAAACGAAGCAGGAGGACAAGGGCGATACCGACACCAAAATGGAAGATGCCTTTGACGGGGAAATCACCGCGGCCGCAACATTGGCAAATGACAATGACGTTCCTGATGACTCGAAGTCTCGGGACAATATCCTTGCCAAAGCGTTCCCTCATCTGTGTCTTCCGGGTGCCACGCATGAGCGTTTGCGAGGGCTGCCGCCCACGAAGCTGCAAGAGATTCTATCTTCTGCAGCTGCCCGTGCCAGTGTTAAATTATCATACTCATGGAATGCATGTCTGAGTGGGTCCGGCTTCATCTATAAACATTCTTCTGCTGAGGTCGAGACAGGTATGTGCACTTAGACGTGGCAGACACCTCAGAGGCAGCCATGTCAGACATCATTAAGAAGGCCTTGGCACGCCTACCAAATCAGCGACTCGTGATTGCGGACAGCAAGCACTTTGGCCAGGGGATGTGCCAGGGCTTGCCTGTAACCTTTCTCCGCAGCATCCTGGATGTAGTGCTCGAGTCTGAGAAGAACCACACTGTGAACATCAGGGATGGCGATCTGGTGTTGATAACGGATGGCAGAAGCACGAGGTTGGATGCCTGCATCAAGAAAGAATGGGGCAAGCGCTCCAAAGTTGTGGCTGCAAGCGTCTGCGCCCGCAAGGGCATTGTGAATCTTCGATGTATGTATCACTTGCGGGAGACATCAACTGCCGGACACCTGGCTAGCCGAGCTAGGCGGAATATTCATTCCCAGCTCCCAGATCCGCTCGAAAATATTTTCATTTTGAAAACCCGGGGAACATCATTGGAAATTCGGGCCCGGCGATATGTGGACCTCCCCGGAGACAGCAGCTCAAGAGGAATGGCGAACTTGTGACACGGCCTCATTCATTCAGTCCTTCTTGATATTGGGTTGGTATAATTCCATGCACGAAATTCTGAATTCCGGAAGCTGCTCAGGCCGATGAAGACAGCTGACGCCGTCTCCGCATGCTGTGTGAGTCCGGAGGATTTCAACAGCATCGTGGCAAGTTTTGAAGCCTTGGGCAAGCCATCAGACGACAATGACGACAATGCCAATGCCGCTGCCAATGACACACAGGAGACCGCGAAAAAGTCGGATGACACAAAGGACGAGGACGAGGACGGCTTTGCCGAGGAGGCTGCGGGCGATGGCCTGCCGCTGCCAGGCAAATCTCCAGCATCCGAGCCCCTATGGCCAGCTGGTGCTGCAGAGCTTGTCAACCTCGAATTGTTGAATCTTTATGGTCAGCTCGGGGACAGTCTGAAGAAGCGTGCAGTGTGCGATTTGCTGCCCGGCTCAGGAAGCCTGGCACTCGCAGCGTGCCGATTGTGTCATCGGTATATCGGCATTGCAGGTTCTGCCTTGCACCGGCACATCCTGAATGAGACCTTGCTGCTTCAGATTGCCACCGAACTCCTGGACGGTGCTAAGAACGGATTTCAAAGCCAGCTGAGTGAGATGGACTCAGATGACAATGGTGCCGCTCCGCAAGCTGCGGAGAAGACAGATGAAGCAGCTGCGACCCCAGCTGCTCCAACTACCATGCCGCCAATCTTGAATGCTTTCATGGCAGGGGCTGCTCCGGGTGCAGACATTGCGCCAGGCACGAACCCGGCGGTCACAGGCACACAAGTGGTCAAGGAGGTGGAGAAGAAGACAAGCAAGAAGAAGAAGAAGAAGTCCTCCTCGTCCTCTGATTACTCGGAGTCCTCTGACTGAAGACTGAGCCATTTGCCACTAGTTCATGGCCCAACAGCTGCAGCAACAATGACAGACAATGCACTCCAGTTTGCAATCAGACTTTATCTTGTGTTGATCGTGCAGCAAACGGTGCCATGACTTTTTGGGCATTTTTCCAATGGTCGGCACAGAGATGAATCCCTGACGTCAGGACATGCCTCTAGCCGATAATGCCTGCACAGCGGTTCGGCTAGAGAGCCTACCAGCATCGCGCTTTTGCATTTCGCTTCTGAAAAGTGCAGCAGGCACTCACTCTCATTCAGCAGACACCTCGGCATGAATCAGCATTGCCTCCTGCAGCAGCAACCTGACTGAAGCCCACAAGTTTTGTTCAAAAGTCGAGCTTGTGACCGTTGCGACCCAGCGGCAGGATCATGGCTGAAACCGTGCCTTGCAGCACATATGCTTGATCCATAGACATCAAATGTGTTGGCGTGGTTCGGTGCATGTTCGCTCAAAGTTCAGGTGCAGATTGTGACCTGGTTCCCGGCCGTGGCCAATGCGATCGCTGCAATGAAGTCAATGCGGAAATTGCCTAGCTCTTGCTGCATTCTGGACTTGACACCCCCAGGGCAAGTGACTTCCAGAATCCGCTACAATGGCTTAGATGGTGTTGTGGACAGGTGCAGCTTCCTGGAAAGCTGCAATGAAGGGCTCGTTCCGAAAGGCCCAAAACTTTTGGTTGGCCAGCTTGAGAGCAAGAAGTCTGACGATGATTGGCTACAGTTTGCAGCTCTTTGCAATCGTTTGCGCCCTCGGCTCCTGGTTTGAAATAATAGCTTGCAAGACTGGCTCGAGTTTCCATGTGACGACAAACCCTTGACCTGCCAAATGCTGAGGTTTATCTTGATCATTGCACCGGAAGCTGTGGATCTCCCGGGAGTGGCGGCACTGCTGCCCTCAAACATGCAGTGCCAGGAAGCTTTGCCAAGCGGTGCCGAGCACTGGCTGCCAGATGCACCTGCTCCCACGCAATTCTTGTTGTTTTGCTCAGATGCTGCTGACTTGAAGTCTGCATGGCAAGGCGCCCTCAAGGAGTACGAGTCGTGGGCTCAGACGCAAGACAAAATCAAGGATCTGACGGAGCATATCTTGCCAAAGAAACAGTTCCGCCAGCATTGGAAAGGCGAGCGGGTGACAAAGCGGAAACATGCCGAGACGGACCCCAAGCAACCGGGCGAGGTCGATGCTCAAGGGGAGCACACTTCAAATGCCAAGCCTCCGCCAAAGACAATGGAGGACTATGTGCAGGAAGCCAAAGACCTCAAATTGCTAAGTCCATCATGGTGCCCCAGCAAGAAAGCCAAGCAAGCGATCAAGCATGCTAAGACCTGGGATGGCGGCTTGAGTGCACGTGCTTCCGTCATCAGCCACGTCCTTATCGAGAAATGCCCGAGCATCCGGAGCAGTGCCGTGGTGGTCGGGCATACAACCTCGTGGCCAAAGCCCGCAGCGAGTCTTGCTGTGCTGCCCAGGAGCATCGGTGCTGATGTGATTGTGGTCTCCGTGAGTCAGTCAAGCAGCAGCAATGACAAGGGCAGTGAGAGCCGGGTCACCATACGCAGCCTACTTCCCGCGGAAGTTTGCTCTTGCAAGGGCTGGAAGCATGACATCTTAAATGTTTCAACCTTGTCTTCAAGAGAGGCCATGCGAGTCGTCTCCAAGCTCCCTTACATGCCGATGTTGCTGGCATGGACTCAGGGAGCACTGAAAGCCTGATGACTGGAGAGCGAATCTGCAGCGCAAGAGGGACCAAGACTTTGAGGGCTTGCTTCAAGGCAGTTCGGTGTCTCGAAACATGCAGGCACACATGCTGTCTCTGAGCATCTCGCCTAGGTCCAACTTCGAATGCGTTGTCGACAGGAGGCGGGTGGTATCTAGGCATGCTGTCTTGCAGTGGGAACTATAACTTCTGATTTTCAGTCGAAGCAGCAGGAGTGCAGACAAAAACTAGCAGTTTCGTCCACACCTGCCGACGTCAACTGGGTTCTGACTGCAGCTTCGGCACAAATGTTTCGCTTGATTGGTCCTTCGCTTAGAAATCCTCGTGCCATGACTTACTTTGTGGCAGTGGAGAAGAAAGCCTGGGAGAAGATGTTGGCCGCGGAGCGGCCTTTCCTTCCCGCCGACACCAAGTTTCATGCCTCTCCTGATGCTGCGGTTCTTGCAGTTCGGCTAAAAGTCGTGGCAAAGGTAGTCAGGCACAAGTCCCACTCTTAATAATAGTATCATGTCTCTGTACACTAAGGCTGCTGCGAAGACAGTGGCCAGGGGACTGAAGGTCACATTGTCGGGAGCGAACCCTCCTGAGATTCCGGTATGGAACGGCGAGAAGGTTCATCCACGAATTCACGAGAATACGTGGATGATGCTTCAAGTGACCTTGGGTGCCTCTTTCCAGTCGACTTGTGTCTACCACTTCACGGTCGTGGATGCGATGCTCAGGTGCAGGATCCCACTGTTTCTTCTTGATGCACAGGTGTGAACTTATGACAAACTGTTGCCACATGCTCTTAAAATCCTCCTTAGGCACTTGAACGGCCGATACATTCAAATCCAAAGCATCAACAGACAGGTCACAGAAAAATCCATCGGCCTCCTGCACCAGGGGTGTTTCGAGTCAGTGGTCTCCTCGGAGTACGAGCTGACGTCCTCCCCGAGCACGGTCAAGGTATTGAAGAATGACGCAGAGGTCGTTGCTAAAGAACAGCAAGGCATCTGCTTTGTCTTCTTGCTGAAGCAGGGTGTCGCCGGAATGGAGGATTTCACCGTCGGCGGCAGGCAGGCCAAGTTTGATTGGGATCTCCTCGACATTGCTGAGGTGAAGCGTGTTTTGGCCGCCAATGCCCCGGATGATTATGAGCGGTACGAGTTTGTCCCAGCATTCTCCGACACGACTGTCCCGGCCCTGATGCAGTTTTTCAAGAAGGAGGCATGCTACCTGCTGGAGATGGTGTGCGACTTGTGACTTGATTGCATTGTCACTTTGACTCTGTCAACACGTAGCCTTGCACTTGGGCTAAGGAGCATCCTGTCAGAGGAAGGCCTCTCATTGAAAGCCGTTCGCCAAGTCTACAACCACATGCAGGTTTGCAGCTGCAAGGTAGGTGTGCACCACATGCTGGACCGGATCTATGAGAAGGCGCAATTTGCTAAAGTGCTGAAGATGAACACGTCTGCAACAAAGCTCGATACCGTTGCCGCCGCGCCAACCAGTTTGAAAAAGAGGAAGCTCGAATCCGAGCTTTCTCAAGCGAAGAAAACTGTAGAGGAGATCGAGCGGAAGCTAGATCTCCTGTGAGTGTGCTGGGCCTGACAGTCTCTCAGTACTGGTAGCACAAGCAGCACCATCACCGTGACTACTACCACCACCACCGCGACCAGCACCAACTCCAACACCACGACCAGCAATAAATAAAAACAACGCCAGCAGCAACATCAACAACGACAACAA